GGGGGGAGGAGGAGGAGGGAGAAATTGTTGCGAAGCTCCGGCTCAGATCGCGTCCCAGTCGAGATGGGACTTTACGTACGCGCCGGAATGCACACAGGAATGAACGATTGACTCGGGTCGGCGTGGAGGGCAAGATGCCGATAGAACCGCCGCCGCTTCGCAAGGGGGGCCCGGCAAACGGTTGATCGATGCCTCGTGGCCTTCCCTCGTTATCTCACGGAAACTCGGTGCGTTCTATCGATCGGATATACCTTCCCGGGCCGTTCGGGCTTTCGGGCGCCTCTCCACCGGAGCGACCGAAAGCCTCTTTTGCTCCGGATTTCGCGCGGAGAGTCTCGCGGAAAAGGAGGGGAGGGGGGTGATAGGAGAATTCTACGTTGGGTGGCATGCTGGAAGCCGGGCTCTCTGAGGGGAGGGATGGGGGCGACCGGAAATTGTCGAGAATCTTGTCGATCGCGATTAGTTAATTAAACACGACTTTCGACAGTGACGGGCGCGTTGTAACTCGAATTACGGCGTATCGATTTTTCAGTCGTTCATCCGCGCGATCGGATAAGAAATTAAGAAGCTCTAAGCGGCTTTCGGACAGGTGTTACGACAGACAATCATCTGGCTTTAATATCTCTCGATCGAATGATCACCAGATATTTCTATTTATATAGCTTCGAGCGATCGTGCGTCCGGTCGAACAGTATACGAATATAAATATCGCGTATTATATTTCGCCGTTGTACTTTTATCTTTATACAATAATTTTATCTCTATAATAACTTTTATATACCTACTAAAGAAATATTTTTTTAAATAATCATATTTTATTCTTACAAGCACAGAAGAAAAAAGAGTGGAAGACTTCCGACCTCTTCCCTTGACTATAAAATACGATTAAATATCTCTTAATTTTGAAAGCGAATTCAGGCAAAATGTTTCTCGCGTTGTAAGCAGATAGCCTATGCACGCCCGGCGGAAATTCGAATACATGTATATGCATTTCAAGAGCAAACAGACGGGGAATACTGTTCTTCGAACTGTCGAATGAGAGATGGACCGGAGATCGCTCGGTGTGCTATCGGCGACCTCGGTCGAGCGAAAAGAGAAATCTTGCGGACGTATTGGACCGGGGTGCAAAAGTCCGGGCGCGCAGCCGGTCGCGCTCGTAAAACCGGAAGCGTTGTTAGTGGAGTGTCCAATGTTCGTTCGCTGGACGTTGTTAAGAGAACGAGTAAGCAGCACACACACACACACACACACACACATTCACACACACAAACGGCATGCCACGCGCACGCGCGCGCGCACACACACACGGATACACACGCACACAAACACGTACTAGAGCGAGATATCTCACGCTGCATCGTAAAGCGCGCAAATAAACCGAACTCAAGTCAAACGAGCGAAACTCAAACGAGAGACGGGGACACGACGGCTGTTTTAGGTATTGCTGAGAGGGCAGAAGGAGGATAGAAGCCCGGCGGGGGGAAGGGGTGGTTTCAAAGTCGTAAAACCGTGTCGCGAACGCCATAACGAATGCAATGCGGAAATTCGTCGGCTAAATCCCAAAACGAGCAAAAGAGATGGCGAAAGGGAGAAAGAGAGAGAGCGCAAGAGAGCGAGGATTGAAAGCAGAGACGGAGCGAAACAGAGGGGGTGAGTGAACGGTCGAATGGCATGTATATATATTCACCGAACTTTCTCGACTAATCCGGCGAGCTTTATGAAGCTCTTCTCGAGACGAGCATAAATTCACGTGAATCTGCTGTTATTGTAGGCGACGGGTCTTCCGAGTCGGCGGGAAGGGGAGACCCGTACAGAAGAGCGACCCGTATTTTCCCGTTGTGCGCATTTGCGTCATGTTATTTTAGATTCGAGAGGTAGATGCCGAGAGGAAAGCCGCCCGTTAAGTCTCACTCCCCGGGAGAGAAGAGAGATTCGTCGCATCCTTGCGATATCCTTTACTTTGCGAGAACACCTCCACTCGTTCGTTTAATTATTTACGATATCTTTGTCGCGTTGGTGATGTAAATAAATTCGTGTCGTCTCAAAATGATGCGATCACAAGCCGGGGGGGAGGAGGGCAGATTGAACGTATTATTCGAGTATACAGCGTTGAACAACACGGCGTGCTTGATCGTTGACGAGAAGCGCAAGAAGCAGATAGGAAAGGCTTAACAAGATTAATATAAAACGTAGAAAAAAGAATGAAGAGGAAAAGAGAGAGACAGAGAGAGAGAGAAAGAGAGAGAAAGGTTGGAGGTGAGATCGTGACGATTAAATTCATTCACGCAAGTATAACGGGGATATATGTGTGGTATAGAGGTGGCGACGTGTATAACACAATAGAATTCAGTGTCAAAAAGAAAAACGGAAGGAAACGGAAATGAAAAAACGGCGTGTTCTCCGTTAAAGAATTAAATGGACGATTGTAAATGCATGTTAGCTCAATCCAAAGTCCGGTGGACGGTTATGCAGCACGTTTAATAAGGGAGTAGAAGATGATGACGAAGATAGAAATATGTAAGTATATAGATAGATAGAGATATATGTATATATACATTAACGAAGAGAGAAGTCAACTCAACATACGAGAAAATAATATCACGCGCGGAACACGTTCGTGCCGACGTCGTTCTACTGGCGCTTCGAAAAAACTCATAGCTCCTCATTAAGTTGGAATAAATGTAAAGGCAGTAATATAAAATGTAAAAGCACTCCCGAAATAATTGAAAAAAAAAAAATGGAAAATTTTGATTCGTTGATCAAGATAATTCCCGTTGAATTATATCTATAATGTAACGTAATATTATTACTTCCTATTATATCTCATCCGCCGATCGTAGTATAGATTAATGTGAATTGTACGGCGGGAAACTAATTGAACGTTAACTCTAGATAAAAGATATCAAAATTGATTACTAGATTATTATCGTTATATGTATATGACAGAACGGTGACAATGTACGTTAAACGAGAAATCGAAATGTCTTCCCGCGTCATTGTTACGCCAGTGAAATATCGCAATATCCTCTTCTATGCCACACTTAAGCGTATCGCATAAACGTGAGGAGAACCATAAGGGCGACATAAGAATACACTTGATCCAGCAGAACGCACGTCACGAGGCGCACTCGCGCGACGAAAACGAGGAGACAGAAACAGAAACGGAAATCGAAACGCAGGAGAGAACACTTGGCGAGGAGGAAACGAAAATCAACGGAAAGAAAAAAAAAACGAAAGAGTTAAGTAATCATACACTGTATCACAAATATAACATCGTGGTACAAGAAAAAGGAACAAAAAAAAAGAGATGGAAGAGAAACAAAACAAGGAGGAAAGAAACTCTCGGTTGGGTTACTCTTGGCACGCACGAAAAAGAAGAAAAAAATCTTGGCTCTTCAAGTAAGTCGTCGGCTCTCACGGGGACTTACCATTCTTTTTTTGGACAACGACTTTGGCTGCGACTTTACGGGGGTTGCGGTATGCCGAACGATCGGAGTTTTGAGTGGTAGTAGTAGAAGTAGTAGTAGAAGTAGTAGAGGTAGTAGTAGCATAGTGTCGTGCCGAGATAGGAGGAGTCCAAGGCCAGTGTGATTGATACAAATATAATAGAGAAGGAGTACGATATAAAAGACAGTCAGTGCATCTTTGGGGCGGGGGGGGGCAAGACCGGGGGGGGGGCAAGATCGAAGGGGCAAAGGGCGAAGGGGGTTGTGGAAGGCGCGTATATCTCTCGCGATAATTAAAGGAGGCGAAACCAAGGGGGGTCGGGGGAGGGAATAAAGGAGTGCAGGAGGGGTGTCTTATTGATCGAAACACCGGGACACTCTGAATTCTTTTTTTTTCTCGATCAGAGCGGTCTAGCCGCAACAGCTGGGAAAACGTTCTCTATCGCGAGCGCGTTCTCATGAGACGGCTTCAATGGGGGGGGGGGATGAGGGGGGGCTGCTCGACTTTCTTTCGGAGCTTGGACCCGACCCCGGTGGATGGACACTTGTCAGACCCGGTGGTCGTCCGCATCGGCTGATACACCGCGGACGGTGGTTATCGATCTGACCTTCCGACGATGCCGCGAATTGCGGGGAATGAATTAACCGGTGTCTCCTTCCACGGGCGCACGTGGACGAATGTAAAATTAATCGGCGATAGCCAGCCGACACAGATCGATATCTCGCGGATATCGTAAAAAATATACGTGTCCTGAGGACTCGAGACACGGCTACGTTCGATATTGTAACAAAGCTCCGCAAATCGGGGGGCGAGGAGAAAAAAAAGAAAGAAAATTCGCGATTATCACCGGTCGCAAGGCTCCATCCGCCGATCGCCGGGAGAGATCTTAATTTTTCTTTTAGCTTTCCATACGTAAGGACGTATATAGGGGCAGAGTGATTATACATACACATGTGTGAGATACACGAGAAAGAAAAAGAGAAAGTAACAGAATAGGCCAGCCGAAGAGGGGACGGGGGGAAATGGATGACATGAAATTGAAATTGACTATGGAAACTCGGACAGAGTCGATCGGGGCGCGAACGAAATGACAAATAAAAAAAAAAATATCGATCTGGAGATACTCCCGAGTAATGACGAAAAATATTTGAGAGGCGAGATCAAATGACGATTTGTCTAGCATAATTTTACCCGGTCGCTGCGATGCCATGCGTGAATTATCAAATTAACGCGTGAGATGCCCAAGATGGCAAAATGATGAATCTTCGCCCGATTTAGCTTTCGAGCTCGAAAAACTACTTCGAACTCATAAGAGCTCAGAACCCTCGCGTAAGTAAATTATATACGTGCTTTGAGATAAACAAGCAAAGGGATCGTGCCATCTTGAATAAACGTATGGAGACAGGGTGAAGAGATGCTATGAGTATAATGATGCAGAAAATCAAAGTCTACCGTTGAAGATGTAAAAATCCAAGGCTATGTGCCGTCGAGACACGTCGAATATGTATTACACACATACATATATACGTAATCGGGAAGTGAAAATAAAAATGCCAAGAAGAGCAGATATGGAGCAGATACGGAGAGAGAAAGACAGAGAGAGAGAGAGAGAGAGAGAGAGAGAAAAGAAAACACAAATGAGAACCTCGTACCTCGCGAGAAATCGTGAGTACCGTGAAACAGATGGTCAAAGATAAAGAGAAAAAAATATATACAAAAATAGTAAATATATATGTATATATACATGTACACACACATATATATCACGCGCATGGATATCATACAGAACGGACGATAAAGAAGAAAATAGAAGAAAAAGTTAGACGCGAACGTACGTACGTTCTTCTCCTTCCGTGAAACGCGACGTTATGGATAAGGGAAAAAAAGAGAAAGAGAGACAGAAGAAGACGATAATAAAGAAAAATACGGGGGAAGAGAAAGAGAAGATAGAAAAGAGAAACAGAGAGAAAGAGAAAACTCGACATCGAGAAACTACTATGAAAATAGCTAAAAAATTAATGATAATCAATGAAGCTCTTAATCGTGTGACGTCTAGAAGAATCGAGCGGCGTTTCTTACCATCTGTCCGTGCAGCGAGTGAAAATGCAAACAGAAAGAGAATTCAAGATTTGTCTCTGGAAGTTACAAGAGTGAGATCGTGGGGGAGGCGAGGTGACAGAGACATTTTTTTTTCAAATTAACTATTCTCTAGATGAATATTCGGGAAATCACGCGCAGGTAATTATTCTTTGCTTTTTTCTTAATTTCCGCCCGAGACGGTGAACTTTACGAGATATGCGCGAGCAAAATCATGTGAATCGTATAGGGATATCTATGAGAAAATCTAGATTACGTAGAATTCGCAGATGTCGTTGAAATCGAACGATCGAAGAAATTGGCAATTGATCGGGTGGATCGATCGTGCATGTGAAATTTTCTGCGAGGCGAACCGAACAAAAAAAAAAAAAAAATAAACACAAAGCTTCGTCGCTCTCGCTGCGAGATCGTGTAAAATTAGAAGCGATCGAACGGAAAATTAACGGCGTGTTACAACTTTCATCGCGAGACGAGAATGAACGAGTTCTTCGCGAAATTCGCGCCCGCCCGTTATCCAATCCGGCCGCACGTGCACGATCGATCTTCCTTTTCGGCGGAGAATGCGACGATTCGCGGAGAATCGGGGGCAGGAGGCGGGGGAGGGGGAGGGGAGGAGAAGGAGGAGATCCCGATTCATTTTTCATCGTTAGATCGTCTCCAACTCTTTTCTATCGGCCCGGCCGGGACGTGAGGGATGAATCCGCGCATTCTCCCCGATGCACGAGGATGACGTGGCCTCTCTTCGGATCGTGTGTCGGAGCTCGTAAGAGATTTCAGATATTAACGGAATCACGGCATGCCCGTCTTATCACACGCGCGCTCGTCCGTCCCAGCTGTCCTCGAAGGTGACGGACGAGATTGAAACCGTGTCTCATCTCTCTCGCCGCGCTGTCGGGAGCGCATCCCCGCGAAAACGGAATGAATTTACCCGAGGATGAGATCTAATCATCGCAGAGAGGCACAGAGAGATCGCGAAGTAGAGCGAGCTGCAGCAAGAATCTACACGCTCCTCAGCTGCAACGATCGTTTTCACGCGACTGCATGTAATCGCGGGGCTCTGAATAAAACGAACGCTTTTCGCGACTCCCGGCGGAGACGGCGGAGATGAGAACGGGTGTTTTCGTCGCTCGTACGAAAACGCCGAACGGTTCCCGTTTTCGCGTCTCTCGGCACGATTTTCACGTATTAGGCAAGTGAAAAATTCAGACCCGTTAAGAATAGAACCCCGAAGTAAAAAGGGGTGAAAGAAGAGAGGCTCTGATCACGATATAAGAGAGACCAGTCTGAGTGCTCCGATCTTGTTCGAAACGTATTCTGCAAAAAGTAATAGTGTGTACGGATTAAGGTGGGGAATGAGAGCTAAATGATGGGCATTACCTTCCTCGAGCGCGTCATCGCCGTCGCTCATCAGCTCGTCGTCCGAGCAGATGTTCAGCACGTTCACCAACATTTCTGTGACTGAAAGATAAAGCGAAAAAAAGATCGTCCATTAAATTCCGAGTAAAGCACTTCTTTCAATGGACCGAAAATGAATACCTCATCTTCTCATCTGTCTCGAAATATTTCATTAAAAAAAAATCAAGATATTTTTTCAGTTTTTATATTATTAGATAAAAATTGTTTCATATCTTTTTTTTCTATTATAGATGTGGATCCGATTTATTCGATTATGAATTAGAGCCCGTTGTTAAACAAAATACAGCATATAATAATAATAATTTTTTGACAGATGCAAATGCGGGACTTGTCGGTCTGGCACGACTTACCTTTCTCGCCGACAAACGGTAGGGACCATGTGAAAACGTCCATGAAATTGGGCAACCAGTACGGGTGCGGCGAGCAATTGAACTGCCTGATATTCATCACGTTGTTCTCGTACTTTAAAACCGCCGCCTGCGGGCAACAACGAGCACATCGAGTCTTTACGATTGCAGACCAGAGCGCGGTCCACCGGTCATAAAACGAATAACGCCCCGCACCGGCCGTATAAATGCGACAGTTAAACTGATGTCCGTGAGTTTACGGTCGCCGCGACCGGCGCGGTGCGATTCGCGCGCGCACGCGATAGGCGCCTTTTTACCTTGTTGTTGTACACGTCGAGATAGTTGGGCGCGCTGAAGATGGTGATGAGCGACGGGAAGCCCGTCGTCTGGGACTTTCGGTACATGCGGTATCCGGCGTCCTGAGCCTCGTGCGCCCTTATGATGCTGAGCAAATTGTTGTTTTGCAGAAAGTCGCAACACGCCGCGTAACTGCAAAAGCAAGAACATTTTATCGATCGACCGCGCTCGAAGATTGGCTGCAGAGAGCGCGCCCGATTGCCGATAATCATCGTTAAGGGAGTTAACCGAGCGTGTGCGAGCGGGCGCATTAATATTCGCCTATATTATTGAATTTACTTAGCGCTAATGAATAGCGTGGAAATTGCTGTGGCACGGCGAACGACGACCGGCCTTTTAAACACATTTTAGTAGAACGCCAAGATTTTTCCGCAGCGAAATTTGTGCACGAAGCGTATATATGTGTAAGTTTTCAAAAGCGCTCGCCGGGCAGAGGAATACCGACGCGAATATTCACGCCGACGAGATTCGTGTATCTTAGAATCTCGCGCGACCTGGATTAACGTCGTAACGCGCGATATCTTTTGGCACACGCACCGAAAACAATTGCACGGGCGCCAAATGATCAATCTTAACTTGTCGAGAACGACCGGGGGAGAAGGGGGGGGGGGGAGTACAACTCTTTGCAACGCGACTCCGTGAATTTGTACAGAATTGTTGGAGCGCTCCGAGCTGCACGTCGAAGTTGGTTTCTATATTTCTCAGATTGCTCGCGGCACACGCTGCTTCGGCACTGAACCGCCGCCGAGTTCGCCGGTTAACGCGAGTTTATAGATGACGAGAGTCATTTGCGCGAACCGACATTTGCTGCTTTTAATGGCGATCCGTCCCCGTATCACGCCGGACGACGGACGCCATTGAGCCGCGTATGTACCGGGGCGTTCACATAAACAAATTAAGCCGCCGGCAAACGGTCGACAGGACGACCCTTTTCGCGCTAAACCCGTAAACTGATCCCGGCCAAGAATCGTGAGAAATGTTTGCGCCACGTCGCGGCGTGGTCGTTAACGGCCATTAAGACCCGTTCATAACGCCGACAGAGATTAATGACAAGGTGAAATCTCTCGAAAACCCGCGCGTCGCCCTCGGCCAATGCGGCCGGGTATCGATCTCCGGGTCGTTGAATCTTAACTTTCGGGATACGCACACCATCCCGGCGCGGCGCGACGATAGCATGATTTATTTATACGAGGGATCGTTATTGCGCGAGATGTGTTCCGTTTCGTGACCCCTCCCCTCCGCCCCCCCTCCTCCTCTCGTCGTAACGGCGTACGGTCGACTTCGGGTCATTAGGGGGTGGCACACGGGCCGGGTAATCAGGAGCTTCATTACGCGGGTCGGACGTTCTGGCAGAGAGGGGAGGGCGGAAGGAGGGGTAAGTGGTGCGAGTCGCGGTGTAGTCGGACGGACCGCCAGTGATTACGGCCGTGCTACTTGCATACCTATACTGGCCGAGAGACGCGCGGGAGATGTGATTTATGTTCGCGTGAAACTTAATGCACGTATATCTCTATCCCACCGAACCCGAGGCACGATAATAATGCGCGGGAATCGAAAATGAGGGGATTATAACGGGACCGGCGCTATCTGGGAACGTCTTCATAACGGCCGCGGCTATTATATCTTATCGCGATCGCGATCGCGCCCGTGCGCCACGTCCAACGTGTATATATCAATGAACAGCTTGATTATGAAAATCACCTCGATAAATCAACCTCTCTAAACGTCCCCGGCCGCTGCTATATACTCCGAGAGTCCTGCACCGACACGTGTGCGATTCTTCGCTGGCGTGACGCGTCGGCATTAAATAGAGGACACTTGACGAGGATATTTGATATCGATTTTGTTGCTGGAGATCGCCAGCTGAGACACCGCGCGGTGAATTAAGACGCGCTTCCCGGAATTTAATATCTATTACATACAGTCTTCGCGCTTCGCCGACACACACACACACACGTGGCACGTATACGTGGAACGTATACGGGCAGGGAAACGATTACGAACGAGCGACGCGAGACGGCTGACACTTAACGAATCTCGGTGCTCATTAGCAATGGCCGTTCGTATAATTAGTCGGATCCGCGAGAGGAGCTGTCGTGTCTGCGGTTTGCTGACACTGTCGCATAACACCGGCCGTTATTAATTCTAGCGCGGGAGGCAAACCGCGGACGCGACGAGGGAACCGAACGTGACACGTCCGTAGACGAAGATTCGGCGAAGACGGAAAATCTCTCAGGATTCCCGGAGAGCACGGGAGGTACGCTGGCGGGGAGGGGTGGGGAGGAGAGGGGAGTGTGCCAAAGTTACCTCGTTTCACGCTGTGTGACCGCGCGAGGGATGTGCCCGGCGCGCTTCTGGCTACCGCCGCTCGCAAACAGACGGCGAGATAATTACCCGTTGGAGGGAGTTAACGGGTCGGCTCGGAAAGGAAAAACGAGGACCGGCCGACGACAGCCGCGAGATGTATCGCACAAGCATATCGTATTTCCACGGCGAAAAAAAAAAAGGAACTCGCAACTACCGCCGGGCAGCGCGGTATGGGGTGTTGACCTCGTTTCTCCTTTTCTCCGCTAATACGTCCTTTATTATTACGTTAACACCGTGGTATCGACGTGTCCCATCGATACCTACATCGACGACACCAGCGGAAAGTATTGTAATTGCATTTTCTGTTATTTCCAATTATGCGATCCTTTTTTTAATAGCCTTTATCGGCAGCATGGCTTAATGAAGTATCGTTATTTTAATCCAGACAATTTTATATTTGCTTGTTTGCATTGTGTGTATATTATAACCAACAAATAGAACATTTTTAGGACGAAAAAACTGGTGTATAGATGTTTCTTAAATTTTTTTTGGTCCGTTTGATCTGATTTAGGAACTCATATCATTTTATACGAATAATAAAAGATAAAATCTTCTAGAAACTAGCGAAGAGAAAAAAAGAGAATTATCACGTACTGTTTCAGTTATATGGAACAGATTTGATACGACTTTAATTCAAGATTCAGGTATGGATACGTACATATATATATTTAATTTAAAAAATTGCAAAGTTGCGATAAGAAACGACATTTCTTATCGCAACTTTATACTTTCATTAAAAAATCGACTCAAAATTGCACTCAATAAACGATATTTTCTTCAGTCTTTAAGTTAGTGATTGATAGAATTTATACTGAATTTTATTAATTTTCAATCCATGATACCAAAACTATAGTGTTTTTTTATAGATTTTAGAAAAATGCAATTTACATTCATAGAATATAGAAATTCATAGCCATAATTTATATACATACAATATATTTATACACAAGTATAAGTATAAAAAATCCGGTACTGTATGTTTAAATTTTATACAAGAATTTATTTTATACGTATATTGGATTTAATTTAAAAAGAGATACGAAAACTCACCTGTAAAAGTATGAACAACCCCTGACGCTATTGTGGGAAAAGTGCTCCGCGTTCTTCTCGTTGCCAAAGTCCTCGAGAGGATCCGACCAGAGAAGATCGCACATCGGCCCGAACGCCGGCGGCTCTTTGAACCTGTCCAGCTGGAACAGCAAGTAAACATTGATCGAATTAGCTCAAGGAATTAACTAGTAGCACATCGCAGCGCGCACAAACGCAGCGTAATTTTCAGCGTAATTGTACGGGCCATTGTCGGCTTTACCGAATTCACATTGGTCTGGTCAGTCGGTTTGCACTTTAGATCGCTATCCTATTCGGGGAGGGTTTAGTTGGTCCGTTACACGTTACACGGGAAATTTATGTGGTGCTGATTGGTTCCCGGTTAATTGCGGCGGCTTCATTCACGGGGGTTTACGTCGATCCGCACCCGCGCGCATGTCGTAAACGTTTGATTTCGATTTCGCGGAATCGCTGTCACAGCAGCGGCACTTGTACTGCCGCTCTGATTCCTCAGTAGTTACGAGACACCTCTAGGAGAGAGAGAGAGGGATAAGCAATAATCTGAACTTGGAATTGAATTATAATTTGACAGCGATTTGACAGCGTCGAAACGCGTATCGAACGCGGCGGAGGTCTCGGGGGCGACAACTCTGCCGCGAGTTTACGTATCGCGACAGCGCCAAACGAGGTACACGTAAGCCGGATCCGTCTGCAGATTGCATTAATTAGGCTATACCAAACCTGACAACAATGTGCTCACCGCGCATTTCTAAATGTCTATTGGTTGCCACTAAATCGCTAAGCACCGAAATCCGATATTCAACGTTAGAACAGATCCTATCACACCAATCCTATTTGACACCAAATTACATGTATATATTATTGCCTTAAAGGCTTGACACGTATTAAAAATGATATACATATAAATTTATGTAAAGCTTCAGTGTTAACAAATTTGATCTTCCGAACTAGTAAACAAGAAAAGTGTCGATGACACGTATACATCTATATAAATTATGTACCATAAGCACCGCGCTGTGCTATAAGTACCTACCCCAATATGTACTTTGGCTTAGTTACCAATCCCGCAGAGAGATTATTTATTTGACAGACACTGAGCAGACAGCGACGCCTCACTCCCAAAGTCATGAAGCATTCGCAAACGCGGCGCGCGCGGATTTATTCTCGGGCCGCGTCAGGAGAGAGTCGGAGCCACTCCCGTCGAATCGATGTTAAAGGCTCGAAAACTTAGACGGCAAAGTTTCGCTCTACGCGGACGAGCGGGTTTTCGAGCGGAGTGGATATCGAAGAGCAGACGGAGAAAGGAGGGAGAGAGGAGTTGAGGTGGGGGAGGAGAGAACTCGCGCAAAGACAGAGTCCCGCCGCGCCGCAACGAGAGCTCTCAAATATTTGTTCCGTTGATCTAATCTCGCCGAGAAAAGTCCGCCGGCGCGATCTCGTATCCCATCAACTCGGCTGCCTTCGGAAATCGCGTTTAATGACTTCCATGAATATGAATGGCTTCGGGAGAAGAGAGTAGATGGGTATTTCGCGCGCCACGCGAAACGTCTCGTCGTCGCAAACACGCTCTCCCTTCCCCCGCTCTCTCTTTCTCATTCACTGTTTCTCTCGCGGTGCAATCGGATAAAATATTGAGAATAAAAGATCGCCGGGATTCGGTTTATGTTATTTATAAGCTTCACTTTTTTAATATATATTTTGCGACGGCATTCCGTTACGTCGGAATTTTCCGTATGTAAAGCATAATACGAAGCTTCAGTTTTATTTTTCATAAAATAATATCGATTCTCAGTCTGTTTTCGCAATATTATTGCGTTTCGACGCACACTGCCCAAGCTCTTTTGTAGGTTTTATTAAAAAAATTTGTTTGGACTTCCACGTGGGATACACCATTCAATAAAAATAATTTACGCGTGGTCCCCTGCGTTCGGCAATTGGGTGAATTGGGAATAATCCAAAACGCAAAGATTAAAGCTAGTTTCGGGCAATGCCGTTCATTCACCAAAGTATTTAACAATGTAAAATTTTTGTAAATACGACGGTGCAGTGTAAAACATTTAATTCACAATCGCGAGCTTAAATTTTTTAAAATAAAAAATGCTCGTTCTCGAATTCATCGTAAACACGTGTAAGGGATGAAAAATTGAAATCTCCTTTCATTTGTCTTTTTTTTTCATTCAAACGTTATTAATTAATGTCACAAAGAGTGGAAAATTATTAAAGAGATGTTGAGAACATTAATCAATTCATTTTTTTTTTCAACAAACAGCGAGACAAACAGTCGACGCCAAAAGAATGATTTCTCTACAGCTTTCAAAAAATTAAAATAAAACTTAATGGAAACTGCGGAATTACTTGCCGCCCCCTAAATGCAGGTCCCCGCGGTACTATCGACGCCGGATTCCATCTTCCGCGATTAGCCGAATCGAAGTCGCACGACGTGAGCTTGGTGGGCTACGAGCTCCAACGTAACAGGTAGCGTAATTACGTCGAATGGGTTCGCATTAGTTTGCGACCCGTTTCCGCGTGAACACGTACAACACACGCGGGCATATTGGGCGCTTATTACGATATAATGAGCAGTTAGCGCGCGATAATGACAGTAGCTGCATTAAGTGAAGCGAGTGTGCCTTATGTCTCCTATCATGTTTGCAGTGTCTATTATAATGATACGTAATAGTGGCTTCATTGCCCTCGTGCAGTCTCTCCGCGGTCTTTCGTACCCCACCACATCGATCTTATATTTCGCAACTGCGTATAAGAGATGAATTTCTCTTGGAAATGCGGCGTACGCGAGATCTGATTGCGCAGCGCGTCTCTAAATTGAATTTTGAAATGCTTCAGAATTATATTCAGATTATTCATTAAAATGTGTGGAATCCGATTTTCGAACGGTGTACTCCGACGAGTATCGTCAAAACGGAGAGACACGAAATTTCCGAATGTCTATATACACATAATAATAATAAGCTGTCATCCATTCGTCGCAATTACTTAATTTTTTTGACAAGGCGAGAGCAAGCGGCGAATCGTTATTCTTTATTTTGTTGAAATGTAGAACAATTCGTTGATCATGTCAGCTCGTTTGAAACATTAATTGAAAATACGGGGCTTCCAGGCCAAATTGCGGTCGCCGCAGTGGCGCGCTCGAGAGGGAGAATGGAAGAGAAATGGAGGCAGCAAGGAAGAGAAACGAAGAGAGAGAGAGAGACGAGTGGAGGAGTGAATTCAGGGATGAAGAAGGCGTCGTTCCGCGGCACGAAACAAACGTAATTTAACGTGACGCCCGGCTCATTTCCTTAATGGAATGTTTCCTTTGCCCCTGAGAGATATTATGCATCGTCTGTGGATTACGGGCGAAAAATCGCCCTCGTCATCCCCTGCCGCCCTCCTTTTTTCGTTCCCCCATCGTTCGGGGAAAACGCTCTGTAAATGCGCCGGATCGTGCGATTCTCTCTCGCGCGTCGCGATGCCGCCGCCGTCGCTGCCGCCGCCGTCGCCACCGCCGCCGCGCCGCCCGCCGATGCCGATCGATACCTCGGACAGCTACGCTTTGTGTCGTATATCACACAGAGTGTATCTCAACGGTATCCTTTACGCGGTTTCCACGTGGAGATCCCTTTCAATCGTGCGGCCTCTTCCGCCCACGCACCCCTCCCTCCCTCTCTCTCTCTCTTTCTCTTGCTCCTTTCTCTCTCTTGCGATGACGCGTGTTTAATCGTGTTTGCCTCCTTTATCCGCGTTACCCGCGTAATCCGCGATTTATAATAATCTCTGAAAAAACACATCGCAAAGATCAAAGATAAACGCGTCTAGCGGGTAACTCGTCTCATTTTGCTGCTGTTGCCGGCTCAGAAAGAAAAAGAAAGAGAAAGAGAGAGAGAGAGAGAGAGCGAGAGAGAGAGAGAAAGAAAGAGAGAGAATGAAACACGGAAAGCAGACATATGGGAGGTCGAACGTAAAAGCTGCAAAAAATGGCCCACGGCCTTTTGCCCCTGAACAGAAGTTCTGTCCGAAGTCGTTAATCCTACCGCTAAATAGACTTCTTATCGGTGAAAGATTTTTCGGTAAATATGTATATTCGCGCAAATCTATCTTTTCTCAGCGGATGAGTTTCGTAGGACAAAATCGTTTCTATAATCGTCGGAGACTTAAATCTCCAGGGGATTAAACGCCTCTTAAAATAAAGTACTTTGAGAATCGCGGTAAAAGCCACGAGGAGTAAACGAGCGGGATCTTATACGGGGGCGACACGCTGAAGCTGCTATAACGAAAAAGCAGTCAAGTTTCACCTTAAATGTGCTCTAATTAGCTAAAACGCCCTAATTCGCGTCTCTCCTCCGACAGAGGCGGAGGCTCTCTCCCCTCCCCCGCTGAAAGCTCGGTGGAGATATATTCGTTTGGAGAACCGAGATCCAAAGGACGCGGCTGTGAGCTAAGGAACATAAACTCCACTCCCGCGTGATTTTTGGTCTGGCACGGACGCGAAGGACTGTGGGACGTCCGCGATAATGCGATTACGCGATTACGCGCGATTGTGCGCGCATCTCGTGCAGGTCTCTCTCGGAGCGATACTCGGGTGGGTTACTTTGGGCATAATCGCGCGTATCCTGGGAGTTCCGAAAGTTCTCCAACAGTTTGTCTCGTTATTCACACGCGGAATATTCCGATGCAGAATATTCTGATAGCGGGAAATGCGTAGCGAGCGCTTCTTATTGAGAATTTTAAGCGAACTGCACTGACTTTTATGCGTCGTCGAAAAAACTTTCTCTCTCTCTCTCTCTCTCTCTCTCTCTTTCACTCTCGTGGTAAAGAAACGAACAATTGTCGCCTTTGTGCGAAGTTTCGGTGCACAAAGGTGACGGTTGTGACGAATGAAAAAAAGAGAAAAGAAAGAAAAAGACGGATGAGAGCGGGGAGGAACAGAAAGGAAGTGAATAATGCATTAATGTGGTCCATTCAGGCGGCCGAACTGCGAACGGGGTTAATGAAGCCGGCACGCGCGGTTGTTATACTAATTAACGGAAATAATTAGCGATCGTGATCCCCGCCGGGGGTCGGACGGTTCAACGTTTTCTGATAAAGCGCGCGCCTTTCTCGCGCGGGGAACAATAGCATCGCG